TAAATAAGACTTAAAGTAAATCAGAAACAAATTATCAATATATTAAATCAAAACACATTTAAAGTAAATTAAAAATAATTATCAATATATTAAATCAAAATGCACTTAAATAAATCAGAAACAATACTTTCATCATGCATTAAATTAATATAAGATTCAGAAACAATTATTTATACATTAAATCAAAATGCACTTAAAGTAAATCGAAAACAATTTATCAATATATTATTAATACAAGATTTGAAAATAATTTATCGATGCATTAGATCAAAACAATTTAACAAAATAGTTATAAACATTACAATTATTTTAAAAGGAAATTTGTTTAATTGTTTACACTTACTAAAAAGGAAAATAATAGTTTAATATAATAATATAAATATTTGCGAAACTATTGCATTTTTTTAAAAATATAAAATTTAACTAAAATCGTCCTCAAAAATAATTCCATTTCAAACTTTTATTTTCCTCTTAATTTTTCAATTATAAAATTAAAATGAGCCAAAAAAGATCAATTTCTAAATTATGTGGTAATGATGATAATTCATCATCTAGTCAATCTTTTAATATATCTTCTCATAGAAGAAATAAATCGATTCCTAGATTAATCGATAAAGAAGATATTTCTACTTTTCAATCTTCAAATACACCTTCTCATAAAAGAATAAATAGATTGATTGGTGATTTAACTGATGAAGAAAATATATCTACTTCTAGACTATTAACCTTTCATAATATTAGAGTTAGATATCAAGATTTACAAAGTTCTATTTATATATATTTCATCAATTCAGAATACAAGACGAAATAGGAGAATTGTCAACATCAACTTTGACTGGATGAATTATAGAAATTGTTAAATATAAATCTGATGATAAATATCAAGAAGATTTTGATTCTACTTTTTTACCTCAGAGACATGTAAAAAAATATACAAATCATCTAAAATCTGATATAAATCCTTCTGATGATCTTGAAACAGAAGCTGATTAACATTCAGAATCTTTAGAATTTACCACTGAAGAAGATTATATTATAGGTGAATCTGAAGATGATGATATTTCTGTAGAGAATGATTTTGAAACTTTTAAAGATTATGCATTACCAGATTACGAACTATTTCAAAATCTACTAAATACAAAATCAATTGATAACTGATTTTTGTGAATTTACTTTAGATTATATTATTTTAGATAAGATTCAATATTACAGTCTACAACTGAGGCATTAATAAAATTTATGAAATTAGTTCTGACAGAAATTGGAGGTAACGAATTTAGAAAATTTCAAATTCAATATACTTAATGAAAAAAGCACTTGGATTAAATGATTGATTTTACCATTTCGTTCATTGTTTCAAATGTCATAAGCTGTATCAAAAACAGGAAGTGATGAATCTTTAACAGAATAATATGCTGACTATAATGAAATGTCAACATATAGAATTTTCCAATTATCAATTCACAATACACAATTTTGCAATACTTCATTATCTCAAAAAATCGTATCAATAAATCAAATTTTAATTTGACCTAATTTAATCTTTCTGTTTCTAGAATTTGACAACAACTAACCTCTATATATTGTCAGCTTAATTTTAAAATTAGCCTGAGATAATGGACAAATTGTCTGCATTTTGACAATATTATGATTAATGTATATGATGGTGAAGTGTGACAAATGTTAAAAAAATCTTCATAAGAAGATTTGGCAAATTTTTTTGAAATGAAGTAGCCAATTCTCATCTTAGATTAATGCTAAATCTTGACGAATTTCAGCTATATGGTGGTACTGTTTATAGCATCAAAGTAATATATGACACTATATGCAATTTGGCTCATATATCCAATTTAAACATAAAATTTACTGGCTCTTGGTTTTTTACCTAGACTAAGCGAAGTCAGTTTACATAAAATAAATTACTATTTAGCGCTAATTGTAGAATTAGAATTACTTTAGAATAGATTTATAATAAATAAAATATATGAACATTCTGAAGAAAAGAACATTTGTGCAGCTTTAATTCTTGTTTTATGTGATGTATTAACTGCTAGAAAAATATGTGAATATATTTTAGCCTTAGTATTATATCATAGATACGAAAAGAAGGTAAATTATGAAAATCATTAACATAATTTTGCCAAAATGGATAATATTGATAATTGGTTCATTATGCGAGATCCAATTGAGCATTATCAAAATGCGTTAGAATGGAGACGCTGCAATTAGACGCTTTACAAAAATGATTTGTAAAATAAAGTGGCATAAGATGGTCTGAATTATTATGTTTGTCATATTTTGACCCTATAAAATATATTACAATTGATTTAATGCATTGCCTATTTTAGGTATTGCATGATGGATAGTAAACTAATCTAGGTCAATAAAGAGATTTTGATATAAAATTCCCTGAATAAGATTCAGAAAAAGATGAATGAGTTTCAGATTCCTTCCGATCTGGATCAAATTTTGGGTAAAATTCATGAAGAAGAAGAATTTTCTAATTTTACAGCCAATCAGTAATAAATATTTTTCACTGTATATGCTACTGTTTCACTTTAGAAACATCTTCCATTTGTAGATAGATTCTTACACATTTTGTAAGGATTTGTACAATTTTAGTAAGCTGGATTGTAGAATCAGATCTATTACATGAAGCATATTGAATACTAATTGAGATGGTGAAGTTGATTGAAAATAATCACGAAATTCTTCAAATATAACCCAATTCGAGTTGAAGTTCCAGTATAGCTTTATTCTAATAAAAATTAATTTTTCTTTAAATTACAGAAGCTGGTAGATTTAAAGTATTGGAGAAATAGTTTCATTTTGAGACAAAGTAGAAATTGATGTTTCTGAAAAAGATGAAAAGTACTTGCATTAGTTAAAACAGGTTTGAAGTGTTTTTGTTGAGTTTTATTAACATGATGTTGAGGCATTTTCAACTTTTTTAGCTACTGTAAAAACTTGGATAAATAAAAGAAAGGAATATAAAATAAAAAACTAAATATGAAAAATTTTTTATTTACTTTTTTAGAAAGTGGATACATTTATTAATAAATATAACTAATAGTAAAATAAAACTTTTTTTAAAGCATGGGCGTTAGTTTCCATGGGATAACAAAGTTATTTAACGAGAATTTCCATGAAATAACTATTATAAATAAATATTTGTAATCTATATCGTTATAATCTAATGTATAATATTATAAAGCAGAAGTTGATTTTGCTAGCAATTATCCCATATTAAATTTTTAAATTTATTGAAATATCAATAAAATTAGTGACCATAAGTGGCATCATCCCTCTTAAAGCCCAGCCCAATACTGTTAGCTTACGTTACCTCCTCGTTACATAATTTGTACTAGAAGAAAAATAAAAAAAAGAAGATAAAAAAATAATTTACGAAAAAATACCGTCTTTTGCCTTCCTTACTGTTGGCGTCTAATAACATAAAGAAAAATAAGCGTTAATAAGGTTCGTCACTGAAGCATCTATTTTTTAGCCTTATCATGATATGTCGTTTGTGGTCGAAAAAAAAAGCTTGAAAATCTTTTGGAGCGCGTATTATAATGGGCAAGGTCGTATGCATTTTAGAAAAAAATTTTTTTTTTTATTTTTATTTTATTTTTGGTATTAGTTTTACTCGAACCCAATGTCAAGTGCTTTATACCGCCATACTATAGCAACACCGAAATAATTTTTAATATAAATCTCAACTGAGTTTCAAATATATCACATGATATCGCTCACCTGATTGATCAAAGCCGAGTTAAAATTAAGATCTTTATATTTGACAAAAATTCTTAATTTTCTTTGTTTTTTTTTTTTGATAATTTATTTTTCAGATTCGTGATGGAGGATTGGTCTGATTTGTTGTAAGACTTTTATTTTATTTTTTTTTTTAATTTACAGGATATTTCTCCTTTTTCTTTTAGACGATTGTTTTTACGCGAAGTTTTTCGAGTTGGATCACTTCATGTTGCATAATTAAGGATTTTTATTTTAGTTCTATTTCTAAATCATTTCTTTTTATTTTTATTAATATATTGGATCGCTGCAATCTGTTGTAATTAAAGTGGGTTTATTTTTTTTTTTTATTTCTATAGCTTCATATTCGGGTTGGCTTAATTCAGAGTAAGCGCGGTATTTATTTTTTAATTAATTATAACTTTCGTTTAGTTTTCATTTTGTTTTTATTTACTACCTTCAATTTTTTTCACTTTTTACCGTAGAAATCGAATATATTTCTGCCTTTTTGTTTTGAATTTTTTCCCCAGACTTTTGGATCACTTCATTAATTCTTTTTTAGTTTTATTTTAGATTTATATTGAACATAAAATATAAAGCAATGTTGTGATCGCGGGTGGTTGAGTCACGCCTAAGGCCTCCCAGTTAATTTCTAAAATTGGTTTATGTAAGAACGATTTTCTTTTTTTTTTTTTTTAAAAAAAAATAAAGTTATATAGCAGGTGATTCAAGAATGAAAGGATTGACAAGAATTATTAAATATCTAATTACATTATGGTAGATTCACCCAAATAATGGAAATGTACTTGTTCACAGTAAACTAATGCATGTTGATCCTTTTTTATAGATCAAGTCGCAAAAAGTGAATGTAACTGGCCAAATTCCATTATTTGTCTATAAAGCTCGCCATTCATATTTCCTTCGATACAACTCCAGATCATTATTTCACCACCACAAAATTTGACCGTTGGTATACATCTCGATCAGTTAAAGGTTACTTAGGTTTTCTCCAACAAATACTGTTCCGTCAAAGCCAAATAAAAGAAACTTTTGGTTCATTTGACCTCACCACCTTTTTCCAATCATTAATTATCCAATTGCTATATCGTTTCGCCCATGCTAGTCGATTTTTTATGGGTTTTGCAAGCAAGGGAATACTTGTGTAACTAGCCCATTCTTCCTCAATAGACGACGTATAGTCTCAATGGTATATTTATTAGATCTCTAGATTTAATTTATGAATTGCACTTCTACAAAAGTTGAGCATTTCCAGATGTAATCAGTCGGACAATTCTACTTTCATAATGTCCATAAATGATACGCGGACGAACAGATTTGGGTTTATCATTAAAATTTCCAGTCGTTTCTTTTTTACATGTATTCGTAGAGATGATGCCATTTAGTAATTGTTCTAGCCGAATAACCTCTTATAATAGGTATATATATGAGATCGTTTTTCCTGTCCTGTGATGTATAAGACATTGAAAATAAAAAAAAATTATTAGAAATGATCATATTCATCGTGGCAACATTCTTATATATATAAAAATAAAAACAATAATTACTTGCTAAACGTCACTAAGCCTTTGTCTCAAGATCGGTCAAAAGAAATAGAACATGAAATAGGGATAAAGTGATTAACAACTAATTAACAAAATAATCAATCAGCAACAAAAATCAAACGAAAATAATTACCTAAGTGCCGTGATTTAACGAATATATTTTTATTTTTGTATAACCATCCAAAGCAAAGATATTAAAATTTTGATTGTCCATTCTATTACTTTTGTGAGCCACGGTATTTTCAAGCATCAGTATCACATAAATACATCACACCAATTGTTGTCAACATCATATTTAGCAATCCTGAAAGTGATGGAGAAGGAACAAGTAATAGTAAAACAATTTAATCGAAGTTGGAATACAGATACTTTTTCGGATGTATTTAAATTTGAATTCCAATTACAGACACAACATGGAGTTTTTAAGGAACGTGACCACGAAAATTTTTATCAATAAATCAAAGGACAAATTCTCAAATTGTTTGTTTCCTTACGATGACCAAATAATTTGGAGAATACTTATTTAAATGTATTGGAACTTTTAAGGTTCAAAATTTATGGATTAAAAATGCAACATTGAAAAAACCGGTCTGATTGTTTTATAACTTTGAAATTCTTGTCTAATCAAATATTTTGAAAGTCGTATCGGTCCTGACCGGTAATGGGACCGGAGATTCATAACGTGATATATTATTATATCATGCAATTATATAATAATTATATTGCGTTGCGTCTAAGATTTCAGCAGTATCATTAGGTCTCGACGCCAAACTATAAATCAAATTTAGTATCATTTCGATAAATCGATTAAAACAAAGTGATAGAATCGTGTGAAAATGGAGCGCAAAGAATTTTGGGACATAAATTGTTTGTTGACATAGTTGAGTCGAAATAATGTTTGAATAACAACTTGTTTACTTTCTGCAGGTCGTGGACCATTCCTAAAATCCATTGTTCTGTTGTGTATTCAATGTTTCATAAAAATGCGATAAATTCAAGATAAAGAAATATAGTTAATCTATCTCAATTCTTTATTTTTATTACACAACGCGATCTTGTATTTGCTCTACAAGCTGATGCGAAATCACTTTCTGTTTATAAACGTCGAAGAAATGGATAACCACCTGAAAAAACTCTTAATTAAATAATTTTATAATTTGATGAAAAGGCTAATAATGAAGAAACTGACACTAAATTAAAAACGGTGGAACTTTCGACAAACTTTCCTGCTGCAAAATAAAAAGATAACGTACATTTTTATTTACGAAAACTACCAATAAAATGTTCGTTTAAAGGTTCTTAGTATTAAGGTTAACAAATCATTATAATAAATTTTAACTAAATAAATTTAATAAATTAAATATTCTTATTAAATCAAAACTTATGAGATATGTATATATCTATTGTGAATGTTTATATACTCCAAAGAACAAAGTAACTATGTTAATCCTACTTTTGTTTTCGGAAATTATAACAAAAAAAAAATATATACCTATAACATAAAATATAAAAAAATGTTAATATTTTATATCTGATTGACATTATAAAGTTTATTTTTTCAAAATTTAAACAAAGTCTTGCCATTATTTTTATTAGCTAGCTAATTTTGATAAATCCAATCGACATTTACTCATTCGACCTAAAAATGCAAAGCAACTAGAAGCCCGCCGTTCTTTTAATAAAAATCTTACAGACGACTGGCAAAAAGTCTTTGATAAAATGAAAAAAAAGATGTGCGCTATATCAAATTTATGAATCATTAATTATGGATCCTTTTGATCAAAACTCTCATATTTTCGATATTTTCAGATATTGTAGCTACACCCTGGGTATTTAAGAAATCAAGGAACAAGATATTACCAATACATTTAATATAAAAGGATATTACTTTCCAAAAAATCAATTATTACATTTTTGCGCTTTTCCCATGAGCATTGGGACTATTTGAGGAATGAGAGAGAGAAAAATATGATCATTCAAAATTTTTTTTTTAAAAAAAAAATTTATTTTAAATCAAGATTTAAAAGAACAAAGCAACGACACGCTAAAGTTGTCTTGCTGATGTATCTTAATTCTTCAAAAATACGATTGTTATGTCAGGTATTTACTTGATCAGTATTAAAATTGATTTTAAATATTATATTACAATAACTAGACTAGACTATTGCTATGGATGTATTAACGTCAACATTGTTCATGTGCATAATCCGCAATAGGCGGTTAAATTGATTGATATCATTGCTATAGGATTATTTCCGGATAAACAACCCCAATTGGTCAGCAACTAATCATGGTAATGACTTGTAGTTTTCCAAACTCGGAATTCATTTATTAATTGATCTTAACTTATAGGAACAAAATCAATGTATTAACAATCCTGCAAGTTTGACAGTTTCATGTTTTATTTAAGTTTAAATAAAATTTTTGTTGATTTAAACATGAAATTGGAACAAATCTTTCAAGTTAATATTACTAGATATTTAAAGTTATAAGATTAGAAATTGTTATGAAAAAAAGGAAAAAAAAGTTCAAATCCAATTATATTGTCAATCTGCAATTTTATATTTGAAATATTAAATGTTTTGAAAGTTATAGGATGTTGCCGTTAATTTAAAATAAAAATAGAAGTTTGATGAAAACTTTTTAATATTTTAACAGTTAATAATTTCATTTAATTTTCATTATTAACAATAATCATTTACTTAAAAAATCAAAGAAAGCCTTTATTTTTAAAGAAAATATTGTTTATGTATTACAAGGTTTAATGACCACAGTAATAATCTAATTTAAAAATCAGAGTTTTAAATTATCTTATTTTTATTCCTCAAAAGAAACTTGAATTCAAGAAAAGTTATTTAGAAAGTTAAAGCTTTAGGCAATATTACAGGAGTTATTCAATTTTTTTGCAAAATAGTATTTGTATTTTAAAGATTTAGGATAAATATGCGTTAAGGAATTGGGTAAATTTGGTAAACTATTTATTTTAGTGTTATTACACCGGAGATATGTTAAGGAGTTGGGTAAAGTTGGTAAGCTATTTATTTTAGTCCAATAACAGTTAAGTACTGTTAAGGAGTTGGGTAAGGTTGGTAGGATAGTTATTGGAGTATTATAGCAATAAAGTTTCGTTAAGGAGTTGGGTAATGTTGGTAGGATAGTTATTGGAGTATAAGAGCAATCAAGTTTTCACAGCGTATGGGAATTCTGACATCTACTTAGTCCATTCAGGAATCGACCAAGGTGAAGTTATATTTCCACTTTTGTGGTGTATATACTATGACCCTCTCTTGTGCGCTATCAATGATTCTCCATATGGGTTCATTTCAGAAGCCGAATGGCGTCCTAATGTCCGTCTTCCTATCACGGTTAACTCTCAACTTAAAGTTCCGGCGCTCGCCTACATGGATGATACCCTCTGGCTTGCCAAGTCCAGGGAGGACCTTACTAAAATTACAGAAATTGCAAACAGTTTCTT